TATGAAATTGAAGAATTCTTAAAGCATACGAAAAATTTACTGCATTTTTCTACTTCTTCACAATCAAATTGAAATATTTTCCTCTTTTGATCTTGTTTTTGTTATAAATACGTATTTTTTAATTAAAGATTTGTCCATAACATGTTGAAATGAATGATAATTTGGAATTAATTGTTTTCTCTTTAATGCATAGCCAATAGATTGCAATTTTCTTGATCTAATTTAATCCTATCAAAAATTCTGTTCTAGTAACGCTTACAAAAGGCACTAGTAGTATGTTTTTTTTTAAGTCTTGAATAACTTCTGAAACATCCATAAACAGTATTATTGGGTTTGATTGCTTTTTTAATTAACTATAATGAAAGAACATAAACTTTCCCGAGTTTGCAGCGCACCTGATATAGCATACGAGGGCTATTACCCTAAGGCAAAGGACGCATACGAGGAGGATTTTTCAAGGGCAACTAGCTCGTGTTCGCATTGCTCATGGGGAAAAAAAAAAAAAAAAAAAAAAAAGACTAAGTAGCCACCTCATTCTCTGGGATTTTAACGCCGGCTTAACACAATTACAGTACTTTAATAATATTAGTATTTAGTATTGCAAAACATTTACAAATGAAATTGATGCTTTCAAGGAAAAGTTTAATTGAATTACGTATTCAATCTATTAATACCGAGAAGAAGATAAAACTGAAAGCATATTGATCAAATATCAGGTCTGTCTTCTAAATTGGGTATTAAAAATCATTCAAGTGATTGTTATAGATTTGTGCATATTGTATGGATTTTTTTAAAATTCGCAAACCGAAATTGCGGTAACACCATTAATTTCTTTCGACATATTTCATCCTCTGAAAATTTTCTATTCTGAAAATTTCGTTCTTTGTTTGAAAACAAATAATGATCCTGTTAACCAGCTGTACGAAAAGTGAGAAGCTCTTTTTTTTTTCTTCTCATTCACTGCTTTATGACAGTGTTTAAGCAACACTTTTTACAATACACTGTAATAAAATATGTATAACATTTTTTTTACGCATACGTATTAAACGACTACGTTTTTATACTGTTTAGATAATCACTAGACGTCTGTGCTTGTAGACAGATTTGATAAAGTTAAATGGAAATGCACGGAAAAGCTATTTACCTTGAGGTAGACATCTTTATAGAGAGACTTTGTAGGAAAAATTGCTGGTATTCACGTCACAACTGCAGTTTTAATGAGAAGAAAAAATAAATAAAATCTGAAAACGTTTTCAGATTTTACATTACGCCCAATTTTAAGGTTTTGTGTGTTACTTTCATTTATTAAATATCATGTTCTTCGCACTTAAACCATAGAATTCAATTCAACAGCAATATCGCAAAATAATTTTAAAATGAGCGTATCATTAGAATTTCCGAAACACAGTCTCGAGCGTTGGAGATAATTCCCCCCCCCCGTACAATATTGTCATTGCTCACTTTGAAATCGTTGAGTTTGTTTATCAAGAATTCCTTACAGTGTTCCAAAATATGAAATCGATAATAAAACAAATTCCAAATTAGGGCTTCCAGATGACCATATTTGGTGGAAGATTACGTTATTCAAAATCTGATGTCTCTAAGTACCATTGTTTTATCACAATGCGAGAAACATACATACATTTATGAAGATTCTTCATTATTTAATTTCTTTAAATATAATACAGGGCTGTAATATTTGATGGCAACAGTTTGAAAAGTGAATCAACGCAGAAAGTGAATCGACGCAAAATGTCAAAACGAAATTAATAGCCCTTCTGGGCTAACGCCCTTTGGAATAATAAATATTTTTTTTTATTATTTGGATTTAAATTGCTTATTATTTGTAAGATTGCTGTTATGAAAATTAGTCCATTTTCCCAAACATATACGAAACAATAAGCTATTTAAATATATGTTTTATTATACTATAGATTACTGCGGGAGATGAATTCAGCTATCGCCTTTAAAATATGTAGTGAAAGATCCATAAGTAGCTGGTATTGGACCATATATAATAATAAAAGTAAACAATGCTGTAAATTTATATATATAATAGCAATAATTTTAATAATAAATGAAGTTAAGGAAAAGTTGTATAGAAAAGAATGATAATATTTATTTTATTACTCGTTTACTTCTTATATTTAATAAAAATCACTCTGCTCATTACTGTGCTTACTTAATAAAGTTCAGAACCTCTAACATATGATAGCATACGTCGAGGCGTTGCAACCATGGCCGGCGCTAGGCATTTTGCCGATCGGCGTAACTTTTGAAGGTTTTAAATTTTGCTTTCCCGGTGCATTACTAAATTAAAAAACATTTTCAGCTTCTAAATGCCTCTGCCTTGTGTATTACCTAAAGTTCCAAAATTTTTGCCATCCCTAAATTTTGCTGCTCAGTGTTTTTCTAAATTCTAAAAATTTTCCCGCCTTTTTATTCTAGTGCCCGCTCCTGCTGTGACGTCAGTCCTGGTTTCAACGAGTATCAGTTTAAAGCTTACGATTATTTAAAATTCTTGTAACATGTTTATTATTATTCTAGTATTTCCGGAAATAAAGATGTTTCTATGTTTATAACGTTAATATCAGTCTTATGCTGTCAAAAGTCTGTGATTAAAACATCTCTTGTATATTTAAATTTTCAATACTATACCGATATGCTTCTATTAAAACAAATCTTCATTAAATGTTAGGGTACGTTAAATCATTAACATTTTTAAAATTTATTTTAATGATTCTGTTCAACTTATTGTGTTGCGGATATTCGATTCTAATTAAAAAATAGGAACTTTGATTAAATACTCTGGATTTATATATTAGCTTCAAACTGTCAAACCAGATTTTAGTTGAAGAGCGGTTATTATTCAATTATTTTTATTCTCCATTTCAGATATTAGATGAAGAAATAAATTCCATTTTTACTTTCAGTACGTGTTGAAAGTATTTCTGCTGTCTTGGCTAATTCGATAGCAGTATTAAAAATTCGAACAAAACATAGATGTTTGGCGACTCAACAGTTATGTGCAGCAACCCCAAAATAACAAGCTAAATTTCAGAAAAGCGAAACCCTTCCCAGCAGGGAGCCTATTAGTGCAATCACTCCCGTCGAAATTGCTGGGGAAAGAAATCCTAATCCTAACGCGAGCGTATATATGCTTGCTGGCCGCTTAGAGCAATTTTGGTTGGACGTATATATGCTTGCTGGGCGCTTAGAAGAGGATTTGGTTGGACGTATATATGCTTGCTGGCCGCTTAGAGTTTGGTTAACTATATATATGGCTCGGCCACTGAGGGTTAATATTTTTTCTTTATTTTACATGAAACATACATAAAATTTCCTTATCTTGTAAAATAATTTTCGGGAAGCGCTATTCATTATTCCAAAGTTTTAATTGATAAAATCCATCAATAAAGTTTAAATTAATAAAAAAACACAATAAGATTAGACTATTTACAGTAAAGTAACAAATTTAAAATGAAAATGAGTATGGTAAATCTCGAAGCACAGAGAAGTATCACTTTGTAACTCTTAGAAAAAGTCTCACTTTTTAACTGTTTAGAAAATGAGTTAGTATTCTCATTTGTGTTAGTAAATGGTTCACTAACCATACGAGGGTATTCTTCCTCTGATAAATAGTGCCTTCCCGCCATAATAGACTGGAGGTGAGGCTTTCTAAATAAAAAAAAAAAAGAAGGAACGGAAATATATCTGAAGGCAAAGCAAAATGTAAAAAAACTCCGCGCAGTAACCCTAAAAGACCATACATAGTAGAGGAAAAAATAGAATAAAAAAAGGAATTGGATATAAATCAGATACGAGAATGTTTTCATTAGCACGCAGCGATTTAAAGAGCCCACCTCTGTATACGCTTTCCCTCCACCCCCACCCTCGAACAGCTGATGAGTAAAATGCCAAAGTCAAGCAGAATATATCAAACTCAAGGTCAGGAACCTAAAACTGTCTTCATTTCAAAAGTAATGGACACAGGATGCCATCTAGTGGCCTTCAGAAAAATGTTCCACCTTAAAATGCGTATACACATCACCCGTCCTCTGAATGCGATCTTTACTGATGCGTGGATGGGATGCCCGGCTGTAAGAGACGTTCTTAGGGAATGCGTATATGGGACACCTGTCTTGAAAGGGTTAAAAGAATAATTACTGCATTTTATTATTCTTCATTTAAACTGCTGTCCAGATGTGATAGTGGTTAATGATGCTGACTGGCATACCAAAGTTCCAGGTCTGAATCCTGGAAGTATAGATGTTTGTAAGCAATAGTGTCTGTGCAGCAAGGGGGCACTCAAAATACATTGCAAACTGAAACCCTGTAGAGAGGTTGGTGTAAGGGAAGAAGAGTGAGAGACACTTGGACTGGCCCGTCCCTCCCTCCTGTGTTCTCTTTCGGAATTCAAAACTAGGGCATAATCATAACAATTTAAATGTAGAAATACTTTAAAGCACCTAGAATGCTGCAGACATGCTAGCCTACCTGTACCAGTTCGTTTAAACTTACAAGTAAGTTGTAGTAAGTTAATAATCACTGTTGCTTGTTTTCATTTAGCAACTTTGCTGGGATTAGTTGAAAAATACAATCTATCCTTCAACTTGTAGTTATATAGTATTAATGGCCTCATTAATGAAGTGAAAAAAACGTGATGTATAAATGAATAGCTTTTGTATTATCTAGAATAGATGGATTATCTGGACACATTATATTAATTGTACAGTTATTTAATAATTATGTATATAAATACTGTTTCACATTTTGCAATATGTGGTTCTAAAATCATTTATTTTATAAATATGTAGCATTTTCATGTGTAATAGATGAATTAGCACCTAATACTCTGATGTTAAAAATTACTTCATCTTGCATACATTTATGAATGTGTTATGTACTGCAATGTAAAATTTTGCCTAAGCAAATAAATTTATAAGACTGACTCCTGAAAACCATTCTTTAGTATTAATTTCCTTTTTCCTGCTCTGTAGAATGACTCTCGAAAACATGTATACAGAGTTCTGCAGTGCCATGAAGATGAACTTACTCAGATGGTTTCCACTATGTCTGATGGGTGGAAGTTTGAACAGGTAAAATTGTATTGTCATAATATATGCAAAGACTGTGCTGGTTTTCTAAGATACCTATTACTCATTTCCTTTCCTTTAAATTTAACTATAATAATTTATGCAAAAGTGGACCACTATATTTTAAAATATAAATATATTTAAAAATGTTGATTTAAAATGTTTTTCTTTTATTATGTTAAAGTCATTAAATTTTTATTTCAAGTACCATTATATATTTAAAATGTTTATTTACAGTATTCCTTAAGTACTTAGCATTGTCATCTGCTACTGCTATAATTGACATATCGTAGATGTAACTAGTATCATTCAAACTGGGCTATAGATACCTGTAATTATTTGGTATTTATTACATAATTTATTATATATATGTAATAAATAGGAGCTGGTTTATTGTGTAGATAGAATAATGACACTTGCTGACAGATGTAGTCATAAATTTAACATAATTTTATTTCTGTATAAACATTAATTCTTTAGATGCATAAATTAATTCGCACATCAGTTTTGGTTCTTAATAGAAATCTTGATCTGTTATTGGATAAGAGGTGTCTACATTGCAGGATCATTTAAGAAAGCATGATGGGAATTAATTTTGAAATGATATACTGTATTCAAGGTTCGTACGGTCCTTAAGAGTCCGTAAAAGTCCTTAATTTTTTGGGAATCAATTTTTGGTCCTTAAAAGTCCTTAATTTCGGCAAAAATCGTCAGAAGGTCCTTAATTTTAATCATCTGAAATTTCTGTCTGTTTTTACGACTGCCATTTTGAGTGTGAATTAACATTTTGGAATAATATTTTTGGCGATTTGCTGAAAAATATGGTTATCTTTTGAATGGGTTCATGAGTTATAATTTGTTCCTAGTTCTAATATAAATGGTGAGATATTGGAGTTTCTGAACAAGAAGTGAAACATAAGCATTTCGAAATTATTTCTTTTTTTCTAATGAAGAGCCCTTAAACAACTTTTTGATTTCAGGGGTGTGAACTCTTTAATTAAACTGTTCTAAATTTGGCCACTCATCAACATTTTGATGATTTTAAGATTTGTTTCTATAGAAAATTTTTAATTCCGAGATCTAGGAATTTTTCAGCAGTTTTTTTAGAACATTAATAAATTTCATTTAAATAATGGTTATATTTATGAGATAAGATTAAAATAAAGCATTCTTATTTTTGTTGTGATATTATAAAGTTCCATTTCGGCCATTTATTATATGTAGAAAATAAGCAAGGTATAATGCTATAAATCACCATTTACAAAACAGTTCTTAGCAAAAACAAACTAGCTATGTAATTAATTAAAAATGTATTTTTAAAAATTTTCATGGTAAGAGTTTTCCCCATATAATTGTCTCAGAATTCTCAAAATATACATCAGTTTTCTCCAGAGCTTAAAATGCACCCGAGCCCTGCTCCCGTACTTCTTAGTTTTGGGGATAAATCATAATTCTACCCAGGGTCCTAAATAAGAAAGCTGTGACACTTCTTTTTTGTACCTGAACAAAAGTTCAGTAGAAATTTGATATCGAAAATTTTACTTTTAGTAATAAAATTATATTAAAAATCGCTTATTAAATTTAAATTTTTCTCTTCATATTTTAATTTTTATTTAAACTATTTAATTATTTAATAATTTAATTATTGAATTATTTTAATAATTAATATTAAATTTTTTAATTATTAATGACTTTATTAGCCATTTTTATTTATTTATTTTTGTACCTCTTTCTGACAATGTTTCACGGGTCTCCTGCACATCTAATTTTAGAAATTAAGCCCTGTTTTTCTCTATAAAATTAATTTTATGCTTTTTTCCTTCGATTTTTTTTTCAAACTATTTCTGGCTGAGTGCTGTTACAGAATTGATAGGGGGTAATTTTTTTTTAGAATTTTAGACATCACAGCATGAAAAAATTAGAAAGATATGAAGGCAAGATTTATAGACCCACGATTCTTAAAGATTCCAGAAAAATGTGTCAAAACGAAAAATGTCTTCATAGTATTAACACATAATTTCTTACTTTTTGGAGAGTGCCTGGAAGAACAATGAAAACATTATAGTTGAATGTTTTACTACTGATACTAGAATCTTTTTCATAATATTTTAATCTTCCCTTTATTCTCTACTTTTCACTAGACACAAACAGAGAAAATATCAGAAATGCCTTCTTAATATATGGATAGGCATTATAGAAAGGAATTCTTTTATTAATAAAGATATTGAAAACTGACAATTTAAAAGATTCATCTAATATATCTTAATGCATCATACACAGGGCTGGCACTAGGCATTTTCCTATCTGATGCAGTCTCTGTGGATCTTAAATTCTGCTGCCTGGTGCCTTTCTAAATTCTGCTTCCAATGCCTGTTCTAAATTCTAAAAGTTTTGCCATTTGTAGAATTTATTGCTCAGTATGTCACTAAATTATAAAAATTATGCCACATCAGCTCTCTAATTGAAGCTTACCATATATATTTCATATTTCTTCTGAATGTTCATATTACTAAAGAAATAAAATTGGCAGCTTTTTCTATACATTCTAAATGCATTGAGTTTATTTAGAATGTCAGAAATCTTTAATTAAATCCAAAAATTCTAAAATGAAAAGGAAATGTGGAAGAAAGAAACTGAATACATAAAGAAAAACAAAATTATTCTTCAAAGATATGTACAGTTATTATTATGTAAATTACCCAATTGTTTACAAGTTCCCATTTCCACTTTCTCACCAGAATGCAAATAAATCATTTAGACAGTTTTAAACCGAGATTTTTGGAATGTAAGACAAAAGTGTGTTTCCGACCTCCACTTGCTCCCTGCATTAGTTCCTGCCAGCTCTGATAATTTGTAATTATTCGTCTTGGATTACCGTTGCCGAAATTTGAGTTTATTATGATGATAGAGTTATTGAGCCAACCTAAAACGAAATTAAATTGTATAGTCTTTGACCAGTAATCCATATTTTTAGTTTGAATTTGACTTTCTTGTTTCATTACATCACTTCGAGCTGTAATTGATTTTGTTAGCATAAGAACATGACTTTATTTTTTAACTTTTTAAATAAGAATCTTATTTAAACCTTTGTCGGACATTGTAGTTACTTTCAGACATAGCAATAATTTGCTTTATATCTGTTGATGTGTTTCGGACTATTTAACTTTTACCAGATCAAATATACCGGTCCACAATGTACCTATTGACAGGTTAGGAGATAAAAACACCCTCATAGGTACATTGTGGACCGGTTGACAGGTTAGGAGATAAAAATACGCAGAAACTAGTGAGAACATTCTTTTGTGTATTGAGACAAATTTCTAATTGTTAGAAAAGGTGCTGAAAGAGAAGGAAATTGATATAAATTAGCCAAAATGTCTGGGAAGGCTTCAAAATTAAAAGACTCATAAATATTTTATTGAGTATTGTTGCTACAAAACATAAATGTTTTGTAGCTTTTAATGTGTAATTATCTGAATGTTGTTTAAGAATCAATGTCATAAATTACATGTATTTTAAACTGTGAAATTTTATTAGATTGGGATTTTAATAGGGCCTTTTTTAACAAATATTGTTAAAAATGAATAAAATTTAATAGTGGCCATGTAAATCCATAATGAGTAAGGTTACCTTATACCTAATTTAATTAATTAAAACTAACTGCTTGCCCTTAAAAATTATCTCTGCGTATTAAAGCGAGTTATTGCCTTTCATTAACCCTTACCGTAGTCACAAGATAAAACACAAAAATGTAAAAATTCATGTAAAACTTATTCTTTACATCTAGTGAGACTTAAAATAATGTAAAATAACTTATCACCTCTGGTGCTTTAGTGGCTTATTAGAACCTTAAAGTATATTAACTGAGTCACAACCCCTGGAACTCTACACGAAGCTACGACGTTAACGGCGTCAGACAAAACCCAGCTAACTTTCAGAACTTGCCCCAACTGTGCCTACATCAGGCCTTTCAGGTTTGTTCTGATCAGTAGGTATCTCTCTAGGTAAGCAGCAGCAGTGGCAACAGCTAGTCTTTTGTTGTGAATCATGCTGATTATGATTTTACTTCTCATTTTAACCTATGACGCTTGACATAAAATCTGCTTACTATTTACTAAAGCTCTAGACTGAGCAAGTGTGTGACAAAATGAGATATAAAATAAAATCAACATAAAACTAACTGTTAGTAAAACGTAAATAAAATGTCACTTACCTCCTTTCAGATATGTATCGATTTCTTATACGTGTAAAATATATAATGCTACCTTGATAGATTTTATATAAGTGGGTTTTATTCTCAAAATTAATTTTATAATTATGCTTAATTAAAATCATGTTTAATAATAATAATTCATCCTATTTACGAATCCATTTTATTTTTAGGATGGTATTACAAAAGTGAAGTTCAGGGATATATAATATTTTTAATTGAATTTATTCAGTTCCCATTCGCTCATAGGTCCTTAATTTTTTCATTAATGGTCCTTAGAAGTACTTAATTTCCATGCGCAGAAATGTGTACAAACCCTGTGTATTGATATATTATAAATAGTTACTGTTTTTAAGGACAGAAAGGGGAAGTACTCAAATAAAAATGAAGTAAAGGGAGTGTTTCCAATTAAAATAGAAGCTTGCTTTATGTATGTTATATCTTGCATACATACATACACACATATATAATAAGTTATGTTTTATAAAAAATATGATCAATTCCTTCTTTTTATCTCATTTTCATTAGAGAAATTTTCAAACAGTACTTTCAAAGCAAAAAAATTGCAAAACGGGAACAATTATTTAAGTCTTTCATAGCTTACTAAATACAATATTTCACTGAATAATTTTTTATCAGATAATAATTTTTCGTTGAAATATTTTTTCTCTGAAATTAAGCTTTCCTTATCTTTTGCCCATTTTATAATAATTTTAAAAAAGGCAATTGATTTAAAATTCTTCAGATGATTTAATTTTACTCTCCAAAGTGCAAATCACAGCCAGAAAAAATCCAGAAATTCTATCACAAGCCATCCTTTTTGTGAGCCTCATGAATTCTGTAAAACATTTAATCTGAAAGCATGATTATTGATTATGGAATGTGTTTTTAATCCCAGAAAAGCATTTTTATGACTGTGAAGCAATACTAACATAATTCATGTTAACTATGTTTGCAAAATTTAGGAATATTTACAGTATGTACTGAAATGGGAGACTGCTCTGAAATATAGTATTGTCTTGCACAATCCAAGGCTGCTGATCATTTTAATATAGCTGTAAATAAAAAGAGTAATGCTAAAAAACATTCCCTCTTTTTTACGTGGCAGGGCAGCGTAATCTATTGAACTTTATGAGCTGTTCATCATATTATTAGTTCTTATAGCATCCATCAAAATATATTTTTTTTGTATTAAATAATTTTCTGTAGCATAATATGCATTGTTATAGATCTATAGCTTATTTTCCACTGAAGTTGTTTTACTAGTATAGTCATAAAAAGGTGAAATAATGCTCTGATTTCACTGCAGAATAATTCTGTCTAATGCTAAACTTGTAATGAAATTTTATTTTATTTTGTTTAGTTAGTGTATTTTAATAAGCAATCTCTGGTTGTTTCTCTGTTTTTGTTTCATGGGAGATGGTTGTGCAGAGAGGGTTCACTCTAGTTTATTTTATCATGCTAACAAAAGCACCCGTTTAAAAAACTTTTCTTGTAATATTTATCTTAAAATACCTGAAAAATTTTTAAACAATTCAAGGTACAGCTTCAAAATTTCTGTTGATATTTAAACAGCTCATAGCTGTAAACTTAAGTATTTTAAAAAATGAAAAAAAAATATATTTTGATCATTTTTAATGTAGTATGTGCCTTTAAATTATGATTTAAAGACTAATAAAAATTTTAAAGAGTTAAAGACATATTAAAGACTAATTTAATTGAATAGTGTTAACTGTATTTTAAGAAAGTGTTATTAATTTTTTTAAATTTTAATAACATAAATATAATTTTTAGTTAAGAAAGATGTAAAACTCTCATACCACAATGAAACCTTGGATCATGAGTGCTTTCTATCATGAACAAATAATTTGAACAAAAAACATCTTGGATGATGAATGGTAATTTCACATTATGAACAGCCCAGCTCAGGAACAAATGATTTTCAGAGGTGTTTTGAGGTAACCTCTATCAGATAATTTACATTTAGGGATTTAAAGAATTACCATTTTAATATTTTCCATTGTTTAACTCTCATTAACTAATCCTACTGGCAAATGATTTACACGATCATGAATTTTGCCTAGAGGAAATTATAGCTAGATTGTATTGCAGAGATTCTGTGGGCTTTAACGCTGAGGAATTTTTTTTGCCTGTGATATTGTGTCTCTAGGCAAAGCTTTGGGCTTGGAAGTCAGTAACAAAGATAGGCCAATAAAATGAGTTCTGGATGAAAGAACTGAAACATTTTCAGAAGTGGCAACAAAAGGCAATTATGAAGGATGTGCCTTCAGAGGGAAAGGAATGAAGCGAAGATGAACCTAGATTTTTTTATATCTGAAACACGTGTGAAGTATGATAATGTTTAAAATTCTATGGAATGAATACCCTGATAAAGGTGTAGCAAGTCATTTTCAGTGAAAATTTTAGTGAAAACTTTAGAAACATTTTAAAACATGTATAAGAATAAATCACACTGGAGAAATTTTGGTACTTTTCTAGTATCGTAACCAGATTCAGGAATGTATTTGTATGAATGTCTGTGTGTGTATATACATACATGCATACATATGTACTAATGTATATTTCTGAATCCAGTCCCGATAGCAGAAAAGTACCCAAATTTTTAATGAATTAAAAGCTCAGTAAATCTGAAACAGAATCTGCTAAAAGACAAAGAAAAAATAAAATTGCCTCAAAGAGACAGTTACCTGAAGTTTTTGTGAAAGCAAACTTCTCATCTTCTCTATTCTTACCATTCACTCTTCTTCATATGAATACAGTTGAGTTAAATTAAAATTTCTTGTTTTATATAATAAATATTCTTTTTTTCTTTCTTAATGATTTCCATTATTTTTAAGTGATGTGCTTGTGCAGTTTTAAATAAGTGGTCATTAGTGGTCTAAGAACAGATTAAAGTATTTTTGATTTCTGAAAATCTTGAATGACAAACAGAAACAAACTAAATTTGTAAACTTAGGGTTCATTGTATTTCTTTCACATATTTTCATAAATAAAAAAAAAATTAATTAAAATTATTTCAAAGATTCTTGTACCTGTTATTAAATGGTGCTTGAAGAGAACATGAGATTTTTAAAAATGTGTTGTAATGTTAAATAAAATATAATTCTGCAAAAATGGTCTAAGTTTTTTTGTATATCTTTTGTTTCTAAACCAGAAATTTGAAATTTTTTATTTATTTACATCAGTTTGTTTCAATGTATTTAAATCATACTTTTTAATAATATAGTTAGATTAAAGGATTTATTTTATAATAATTCAGAAGAAATTTCTCATATCAAAATGTATAATCTTATGTTATTTCAGCTGATCAACATTGGTTCATCATACAATTATGGAAATGAAGATCATGCTGAGTTTCTGTGTGTTGTGTCTCGTGAGTATCCTGGATCATCATCCATTTCATCAGAATTTGAGCCAACTGATCGAGCCAAAGTATGTTTTGTATACCTTTTGCAATTACAAATTTTGTTTGAAATAAATAGTAAAATATTAATTTGCAAATTTTCTTAGCACTAGTATATTATGCTCAAATTATCAAATATCCAGAACAATGACATACTTGCTGTATTTGTTACAGTATAAAGTCCGTAATCTAGACGTCCATTATCCGGAATGATCTATAATCCGGACTTCAAAGCCACAAACTTACGCATGTCCATAAAGCGTTTACTCATCCGCGTTTAACGCGGTCGCTAGCAATGCGCGTAAAGCGTTTACCCTGTGGTCCATGAAAGTACAGAGAGGTTATTGAAACGAAAAAATTAAATTGCAAGTAGTTGGTATTCTCACACAGCAATATAGGACTTGAAAGTGGGGAACTTGTATGAAACAAAAATGATGTCTGTTTAGAATAAAGAGAAAGTATAAGCACAAAAACAAAGCAACTTGAACCAATTTAATTTAAAGAAATGTTAATAAAGTAAACAAATAAAATTAGCTTTTGTTGGTAAATTTTGATACCCTTAGATCATAATTGCTCTTTATTTCATAATTATGGTTTATTATTTTTATGTATTTATTTTTATTTTAGACTCCACCATCGCCACCTTTTTGGTCAAGAGTTTGCGTGGTTTGGGAGGATTCATCCAATGGGAAGTTTTTTTTTTTTTTTTTTTTTTTTTTTTTTTTTTTTTTTTTTGTTTTTTTTTTTTTTTTTTTTTTGGCTCTACGATTATTATCGCTTCAGTTGGGTCTTAATGTATTTATTTTATTTCCTTTCACTGGAGTTACCATTAAAAACCTTTGATTAAATGATCAATGGCAGAAGCAATGGGCAAATTGCCTAAGCTCTTTCTTTTCATAGAAGGAAGCACCAAAAGTTATGTTAATTACGGTTTAATATTTTTGTGTATAATCTTCTGCATGCCATCTTATCAGATTTAAATTGATGATCTATAATCCGGGAACCCAATCCGGATCGCCGAAGTCCCAATGAGTCCGGATTAAGGACTTTCTACTGCAGTAGAAGCTAACAGTAACATTTGCAATTTCAATACCTTTTCGAATATTTTATTTATATCTTTTGTATGTTTTTTGCATATCTTTTAAATTCTTAAATCATATTTTTTATTATTTAATTTTTGAATAAGGGAAAGTTTTATATATTGTGGTTACTTAAAATTTTTCACAACCTTTTATTAATTCTGTGAAATTAAATGTTATGATTAGGGAATTGTTATTACTGGATATAGAAAACCTGAGCTAATTAGTTAAAATTAGCATTCCAGTTTTATTAGCATTCCAGCACTATGTGATTGATGGTAATTTAAATTAGCATTCCATTAAAATTAGCATTCCAGCACTATGTGATTGATGGTAATTTTATGTATGCAGTTTGCTTTGGCATAACTGATATTTCTATAAACATGTGTTGCTAAATCCTTCTATATTATGTATGATTTTAAAATAGCAGAGTGAAAATTTCCTTATACATTTGTTTGGAATGCTTGTCCTGAATGTTTATGCTAAGTCAATGAAAAGTTTTTGAGGAATAAGCATGGAATGCCTTTGATTTCCCAAAGTGTTTGAATTCCTTAATCGTCCTCCATGACAAATAATTCCTTTTGCATCAAGGAATGGACTTAAGGATAGTATTCGGCTGTTCCCCCAGTTTCACAGACTTTCCACTCCTTAAGCTTGATACTGGGTTAGGAATTTCAGAATGTTGTAAAGTTCTTACTAACACGCAACTCCCATTAGTAAGTTCTTAAAATTCCTGTTATCTTAGAAGTGCTATTCAAACAATTATTGATAAATTTTAAACAATAAGCAACGATGCAGCATAATTTTGACCAAGATGAAAAATTGCAAAGAAAAGAATCATCATCAATTTTAGTGACGTTGGAAATAACGCATTTTCCCCTTCTTTAGCTACTTCTTGTTTGCCCAATTTAATGCTCATTTGTTCATCCTATACAGATTACAGATACAAATTGTATAACCAGGAAGGTCCATTGAAACACTGATCTCTGCCAATTCATTAATTAAGTTCTAAGCCTCTAGTACCATAATTAGCAGAACTACGTTTTTTCCTTGAACGTGACTCTATTTCGGTTCGGGAATGATGGTTTAAATTTTTGACACTCGATTGGTTAAGAAAGGAAGGGGTCTTCGTGATTCACAGACAATCCAGAAGATGATAGTAGTATTCGACCATGCAAAACAATTACTAGCAGGAACATTCAAACATTTCATCACACCCTTGAGCAGATTTGCTAACAATAATAAAAGCGCATAATTCTAGTTCTTGGTAAAGACTGCATTTTAAGTGATGTAACACATGCTTTTGCACATATCAATGGCACCATAATTTCTTCTTCAGGAAAAAATTTAGTTTAAATAACTATACAATACGCTTTCTTAGATGAATCACAAAGGGCATGTAACTCTATCGTATGATAATTAGTAACTAAAATCATTCTAGGAATTTTTAATTTACTAAGCAGATTTAAGTCTCGTCCAAATCGTCGATTGTTGTGCGTTAAGTGGTTCATTCCATCTTAATACAAGTGTTGTGTTAAGTTGTCACAAATACACAAGGACTTGTGTCAGTCCACAAGTCTTGAAATATGTTTGCAGAAATAACAATTGGGCTAACCAGCCTAAGGGATCAAAGAATCTCCCAACTTCTGACAGTACATTCCTTTTAGTGTCAACGAAATTACAGAAGGTAGTATGTTAAAATCATATGTGTCACTTTGGGGATGACAATTAATTCCAAATACCTGCGTTGGTTGCTTCTCGAAAATGTCCAACCTAGGTGCATTTTCTCGCAGTTCTTGTGGCAGTTCTTATAATACATCAGGTATATTAGGTGACCATTTTCTCTTCTACACAAAAGATTATCTATGTCATATATTAAATTTTTGGCAGAAGGTCATGATGTAGAGCCTGTCAAAATAAAAGTCAGATTTGACAACTGCCGAAGACCTTGCAAAATTCATTTATCATCCAAAGCTGTCTGGAGAAGAGAACGAATAAATAAGAATGATGCAGGGGAAGTTCCGTATGTCACCATTAGGAGTCGGTATGCTTGAAGTGGTTCTTTCACATGATTTCTCTAAAGAATGCGCTGGAAGTTTGAATCTTATTCACGAATACGAATTTGCCTATACACTTTTATATATCTATGCAAATAACAACAGCATGTTCTAAATCGAACGAGAATGTCAAATATTTCTGGTTGAATTCTAGGGCCTACGGGCAGCCATCATTAAGTGAATATTCGCTGGTTGATTTTGCTGATGCATCAAATACAACTTTTATTTAAGTGCCAGTACCTGATGGTTTAAAAACTGGGTAGTGAGGTAAGTAATAAACCACTGGAGGGAGAGGTTCAGAATCAGATATGACTTCCATGTATTGCAAGTGCAAATATTCATAAAGAAATTCTTTGTATATCTTATACAGTTCAGGTATGTTAACCAACCTGTTTCTAAAAGCAAACGTCTCCTCAAAGCTAATTTCCTTGAATCACCTGGTTCTAATGGCAATGTTTTGAATGGTAATCTTACAACATAGCTACCTGTACTGTTTCTGTTATGAGAGTTTTTAAAATGTTCTTGACACTTTGCTTCGGATTTCAAAAGAACAATGCCTTGTGGGACTGTTTTGAGAGTCCAGAAGTTCTTAGCTAATTCCTTAATATTCAATTCCAAATTATTTAACACGATTAATTATTGAACATTTTCGAACGAACAGTTGTTGGAAGTTCTTGGTTTGGTTAAATTGCTTCACTCAAAACAAGCGACATGAAAACACTAACTGCTAGGAAAATATCTATTGGATAAGATTCATAAAATATAGAGTCTGCCAAAACTAGATCATTGAAAAAGTTTACAATTATTGATGGTAATGATACGTGCGGTAAGTTTCCACAAACATTGTGCATAACAATATCAGAAGTTGTAAAGGAAGGTTGTGAATCAAAATGGGGGGGGGCGGGGGAGAAATTAATCTCGAGTTCTCCATTTGTTGGAGATGCGGCTGATCCTAGACAAGATATCTGAATCCTTGCCTTTTTTCTATACAGAAAATGTTTTAAAAGATAGCTCTCAGTAGTAACTTTTGTCTGTGAGTCAGAATCCAAATAAGGCTCGACATTGTACTAAATTACCGTCTGCGTCATTAACTTTGATTACAGCAGTGCATAACAAAATCTCTTTGTTTACAGTTCCACTATTCACGAAATTGGAATTTATCTATTTAATTTATTAAAAACATTATCTGAGATAGTATTTTCTGTCTTCTTTTTAGATTTAAACATCTTTGCATGAAGAGAAAAAATATTTTTATTATTACTAATAGCTGGTAAACGAGCCTCTCGAGATTTTATAAAATGTAATAATGAATGACGATTATTAAGAGTTGTTTTGCGTCTACTCAAGTTTTTACAAGCCTTAACATTATGCTTAATAGATAAACAGTTAAAATAATTTTATTAAATTTCACTAAATTAAATCTCTTGTAAGCAGGCAATTTACTGAATTCTTAAAATAAGGACAATTTGTTGGAGTTTTTATTGGCAATGATGTTTCTTTAGAATTTTCCTTAAAATTATTTTTACTGTTGTGAAATGTTCTAACGTATTTTTTAGAAGTTAAGTAATTAATTTAACGTTCCTAGTTTATAGCTCTTAAATTATCCATCAAACAAAATATGTGTATTTTTATCCTTTTTTTTTTTAACTAAATGAGTTACCAATGTATTACGAAGCTTTCAAACTTTTCTTCTAGAACACTTAGAACTAATGAATGCGTCATTAGTGGTGCCGACAAGATTCAAAATAGCGTCTGCTGAATCCGCAGTATTTGGCTGCATAATAAGCTTCTTAATTAATTTATTCACCAGTTCTCGCTTATTCAAAAATCTGTCTTCGAGCAAATCCTAAACAGTTTTGTAATTTGAAACTGAAATACGTAGAGCATGAAATTTTTTTCGAGCTTCAGCCTTACATTAATTCTTAAGATAGATCTTTGAAAAGAATCTGATAATTTAATACAGTATGTCATAAGTCGCTTTCTATACATTTATAAAAAGATCGCTAAATGTAAGCCACTGATCTAAATTTGCACCAAAGATAGGTAAATTTAAATTCGGCAGTTTTACTTCAGTAGTATCAGGCTTAACAACAATTAACCTAAGATTATCAAGGCGAGAACCTTTTTATTTTAAATCCAAGTACAGATCATCAACTATATTTTGAATTATTTCATATTCTTCGACAAAGGTATAAACTTCCCTTTTCCACAGGTTACATAAATATTATCAAAAAATACAACAAACATCTGTATTTAAATTATTCAGTTTCTTTTAAAAAGTTCGTTCGCCTCCTTTGCGTGAGCAATGCTAGAGATAATTTATCTTTCAATTTAGTTAAATTTCCTATAGGAACTGGTTTCTTTATTAACAGTGATTTCATATCCATTAAAAAAATCTCGAAGCTTTCAGATTTTATATTACGCCGAAAGGGACTTTTTTTAACGATTTGTGTGTTACCTTTATATATTAAATAACATGTTCTTCGCACTTAAACCATAAAATTCAATTCAACAGAAATATGAAAAAATATTTAAAAGGGTATATCTTTACAGTCTATCTCTTTATTCAAAAGAGTATATCTTAAATATATAGAATTTTCGATACACAGTCTCTCGCACTGGAGATAAACATGTTTTTCCCCGTACAGTGCTGCCATTGCTCGCTTTGAAATCGCTGAGTTTCTTAATCAAAAACTCATAAATGCTTTAAAAAATATGAAATAGATAATAAATTCTAAATTCCAAATTTGGGTTTCCAGTTGCCCATATTCGGGTGGAGATGTACGTTTTTCAAAATTTGATGTCTCTAGGTGCTGTTGTTTTATCACAATGTGAGACACATACATACGTTCATGCAGATTCTTCATTATTTAATGCCTTAAAATATAATACAGGGTTTTAATATTTGGTGGCAACAATTTAAAAAGTGATTCTCCTTTTATAGTGAATCAACGTAAAATGCCAAAACGAAATTAATAGCCCTTCTGGGCAAATTGTCCCTTTGGGATAATAAAGAAAATAAAGACGACTTATCCTTAATTGAAACAGCAAACGTTCTCAAATGTGTCAGCAATATTAAGTAGAATTAAAATTTGTTTGATTAGTACTAAAACGCACATTATCCATCACGCAATGACAAACAAATGTTCGTAGCTAATGTCAAATCATAAGGTGAAGCGTTCCAAACAAATCTACAATAAAGTTCTAAAAAATGGCTTATATGATGTTGGAAGTGTTGTAGCATAGAAATGAAAATTCTTCAGTGATAATTATTGTTTTTTTAATATCCATAGTCTCCGGTTCAAGGACCAAAAAATGGAAATTATAATAATAATAATAATAAAAACGAATAACAGCCAGCGAAAAAAACAGATTATCTACCCTCGTTGCCAAAACTCGAGAGTCATGTGATAACTTAAAATAAACTGGGCTTGTACTAGCAGCGCCATCTGCATCAACTTAAATTTGATAATTCCCTCTATAACTCTCAGCACACAAGTTCAATGTAGTCAAAATAGGCAGAGTGTTCTTTTTTAGTCTGAGAAACTGTATAATAGCTAAAGGTAATGTTCATAATATTTTTATTTTCGTTGAAATTATGAATCCTACGCTGAATGAATTTTTTCCATTTGAAATGAAACAAGTGAACCTAACTTGCATTCAGTCTGCAGACGGTATGTTAACGTAAATAAACTAATTTTTTTAAATTTCAAATTCATTCGATTATAATATTTTCTTTAAAATGTTAGTACAGTTACAGTTTTGCAAATTTGTCAATTTAAAAAATTTTTAAATTGAAATATTTAAAATTTTACATTAAAATTGATTTAAGTTTGTGAAATGTTTGCTGCTAATAGAGTTGAACGAAAATGCAACCCAATTGAAAGGAGCCTAAACAGAGTAAAATGGAATGATGTTCAGATTTGCCATCCCAATCGCTTTTTATCTGAAGTTGAAATTTGAAATGATCGTTAGGAATCTTTAATATTTAAATTGACATATGTCTTCGAAGTTTTTTAAATGAAAGACTCTTGATTTTGAATGCACGCCTGTAACTTTATGCACTTTGAGATGGTGTACAAGTATTTATAGGTTATAATTCAAAAATTTCTCGAAAAATTGGCAAAAGTTAAAGTAATATTTTAAATAATAAATCAGAAAAAATAAATCTCGATGAGTATTCAAGATACCCAGGGTTCGAGTCCCGATGTAGCCAAAAAAAAAAAACACTCCACAGAGTAACTGCAAGATATTAAATTAAACCTTATTGTGGGAATTCATACGTAGTTTTCTTAGAGTACATTTCTCTTGCTGGAATTTGGCGTTTTAGAACATATAATGGTATGGTATATTGGTCTAGTCAATTAGTAAGTCGCCTCGTATATGCTAAAACTCCTTTGCTTAACCAGATGTCTCTTCTTTAATACGAAATTAATTTACATACTTCTGAAGTGAGAGATAAAGCTCAGAAATATCAGAATGGATTTTACAAATGAATCAAAGGAAGAAAGAATGAAGGAAATGAAAGAAATTAAGAAAAGAAAGAATTAAGAAAAGAATGAATGAACTTCTGAAATGAGTCAAGGAAAAAAGAATAAAGGAAATGAAAAGATTAAGGAAAGAAAGAAGTAAGGAAATGAAAGAATTAGGAAAAGAAAGAATAAACTTAAGAAATGAATCAAAGCAAGAAAGAATGAACGAAATGAAAAAATCAAGGAAAGAAAGAATGAGGGAAATAAAAAAATAAGGGAAACAAGAATGAAGGAAATGAAAGAATTAAGAAAAGAAAGATTTAGGAAATGAAAGAATCAAGGAAAGAAAGAGGGAAGGAAATGGAAAAAAATAAGGAAAGAGAGAATGAAGGAAATGAAAGAATTAAAAAAGAAAGAATGAACTTCAGAAATGAATCAAGGAAAGAAAGAATACATAAACACCAGAAATGAATAAAGGAAAGAGAAGCTTCAACAGACAAAATGGCTGGTAAAATCCTTAATATGAAAAACACTTCCTTTTTCAATAACGTCTTGTCATTTATGGGCTATTAGATTTTAAAAAACACTTAATTGTTAAAGCATTAACTCAACGAAATTCTTCAGTTCGGAGATCTGTTTTAACATTAGTATTTAAAACTTTAATATACTGTTCCTTAATGAGACAATAATAGAAATCAAGGGGAAGTAAAAAGAACAAGTAATGTTTTACTTTGCCAAATTAGAGTTCAGACTGTGGAGTTATGATCAATATATCTCTCCATAGCTAAACATTTTACGCAAGTATTTCGTTACTTAGGGAATATATTTCTGTTTTCTACTTATTATGTTGTTAAGTAAAATATCAGAAAATAATGAGAATCAAGTGCTATTTGATTGTTGTTTTATTTTACATGAAATTTTTATTTTCTCTTTGAAATAATAAATATTTTCACGTAGGTTTGCATTAAAATTTACATAATAAGCAGAACATCTTTCACTAGCTTTAAAT